AGGAGTGGTCAATGGTGGTAGTGGTAGTGGTAAGCATTGGTGTGATGGAATGATAGTGGTGGTGGTAGCAGCAACGATGATAGTGGTAGTAAAATGATGTTGGTGCTTAACAATGATGATAAAGATGGTGGCAGTTGTGATGGTGATGGCAGATGGCGGTGGTAATGGTAGTGGTAATAATAGCGGTAGCGTTATAGTGGTGGTGGTGATAGTGGTAATTAAATAATGATGGTGCTTATAGCAACAATAACAATAGTGATAAAGGTGGTGATAGTACTGGTGGTGGTGGCGACAATAGTAGTGGTAGCGATGGTGGTAGTAGTGGTGGTGGTGGTAAATTTATAGTAGTGTATCGATATTTATGTTTCGTATCTATAAATTCAGTCAGAATTAACTAAATTTCATATAATTTAATTTTTTTTTAAAAAAATTTCAGCTACATTTTAAGAGGTACTTAAATTTTTAAATAATATAAATTGTGATTATTAAACGGACTTAATTGATTATCACTTAATACATTCAATTTCAAGTGTTAAATTCGGTTATCAAACACCCTCTATATTATAATTTTTTTTATAAAGAGTAATTTTAGTTTCTCATTAAATCTTTTTATTTTTTGTGAAAAACAAAACTTAAATTTTTAGGGATTTGTCTTTCTCACCATTTCTTATTTCATTAACCATTCAAATAAGTAATGATAAATCTCGTTTTCTCCATTTTATTTCTTTTCCCATCAAACCTCTTAAGTAATTATTGAGAAGAGTTTGATATCTTTTTTTTATGTCAAATGACATACAACAGTTTATGTTATTATAAGTGAAGTAGAGGAATTTATGTAAGAGCTTCAATCTTTTTTCTTCATAATATATTTGCAACCTAATGCATTTATTGAAAATGATATTTGTTCATACATTTTTAGATTGTATATACAATATATAGATTCTGATCAGTATAAAATAAGGGTCCCGTATCCAAAAATTATATTGACCCCGTCTGAATCAACTAATTTTATTACTTTTTATCAACCACATAGTGTGTGAACGAGATTGAAATGGATTGGAGATGATTGTATCTGTGAAACTTATTATATATTTTGTTTTGATAATTAAATTTTTTTTATTTTTTTAGAGGTTTTTTGTGTATATTATTTATAAAATAAAATAACTTAAATTAGGTCGATTCAATAATTGTTACATATTTTTTTATCCCGTTTGTCTTAAAAAAATAAATAATTTATTTAAAAAGACAGACTTATCCTTTTAAAACTTCAAAAAAATAATCAATTTAAATTTTTAAAAGGGTATCCGTGATGGGTCCCACGAATGGAGACAGTGCTTTTCCAGTTCAGATCTGACTCTTGAGAATCTCAGCGGTGTGTGAACAATCGGACTCTATATTTATCAATGAAAATCTCGTTTGATTAATTACACCAAGATGCCAAAAATCAGCAAGCATTTATTTCTTCAGTTTCATATCTCCATATAATATATATATATATAGTCACCCGTGTAGAGAAACCAGACACTACACCATAGAAATTGTATAGAAGGAGATGCTATAGAGAACTATGAAGAAGTCTTCATTCATCTACACGGCTTTGCTGGTTTTTCTGCTGGTCATTTCATCTGGTTAGTATCTCTATCTCTCTCTTAAATAACTAGTGTATATATTATTTTTAAAATGATAAATTGCACTTTTAACCCGTGTGATTTGATTTAAATTCACTTTCATCTCGACTATTTCAAATTGAATAATTTGATTTTTACATTTTTAGTCCAATTACAATTCCTTCGATTCAAACTGAACTGAAAATATAGGATCTCAATTGTTCAAATTGAAATATATAACAGGGATCAAATTGAAATTTCAATCAAATTGTAGGATAAAAAACACAATTTATCTTTTGTTTAAAAATTCTGTGGTACAAGATCCCTTAAAATATGTATATCATATTGATGCAGTGCAGCCAAGATTTTAGAAAATCTATAATTTTTATTTTAAAATTAATATTTAATTTGGAATATTCTAGTTTAATACTATAGAATAGTGTAAAATTATTAAGTTTCCTAAATTAGTTTTTCTATTTTATGTTTCTTGTTTTACAAAAAATTAATACGTTCCCTTTTAGATATTATTGATTACCAATGGTTAATTTTTTTTTCTTTTTTTAATAGCTTCCTAATTTAGTTTTCCTAAAAGTGTAAGGTTCAAACTATATATTCAATTAAAACTACGGAATTAAGGTTATAGTTCACCTAAACTACCGCAATTAATGATATAATTTATCAAAAATAAAATAAAATAAAATAAAATGAAATGAAGTGACTAAGAAAAGGAAAATGTGTTTTTAGGAGTGCCTGAAGCATATGGGAGGAGCTTAGCAGAGGTAGCTGAAACAAATCCATGTGGTCCTACATGCAATGAATGTATCCAAGGGAAGTGCCTTTGTTATATAGGTCACTTGTGTCTAAGCAGCAGCAACACTGATCATCAAAACTCAATTCCCATTACTACAACAGAGGATGGTGCCTAGAAAAGGGCAGCTTGATTGGCTGTGATCAAGAAATATGTTTAATTACAGCTTTTGTCTTCATCCTTCAGTCTAAATGAATAAATAATAATGGAACAAAGTCTTTTGATTAAAGTTTCCACCATTATTTTAGATTATGGGTGTCAATCTTTTTTCCCTTTCAGATATTAGTTGATATGTATTTTTTGTTTTTTTTATCTTTTATTATGGATACACTCCAACATATCGACGAGAATGAAAATTAAATGTGTATTACTCTATTCAAGATGCAATATATTTTTTTTAGTCAACAAAAAAACCTTTATTGATGAAATTATCACGTAAAGTATAAGAGTATTACATCAATAGAGGGAGAGGGGAGAATGCACAAATCATCATAGCATAGCTCAACAATCTCAACTAAGTTGACAGCAAAGAACATGCCCAATCATACGATAGCATCCAACCCCAGTTGGTGAGGGACCAACCAAGCATAACACAAAAGCAACACACCCATGCAGCAGCAACCAACTCCACAGCAGCACAGGGCAAGCAACTTCACCACAGCTAGCTGTGCCTAATCTGACTAAGATTCTCCACTATATCATGCATTGAATAAGAAATCTCCTTTAGGTTAGATTTAGCCCAAAGATCAACCCTCACTTTCACAATCTCCACAAGTTCAGCCATGTTGGGCTGCCAGTTGTTAAACACACAATTATTTCTCAACCTCCATACTGATCATAGCAATGCCACAGGAACAAGTTTCCAAATTTTTTGGATTGATTTATTGAATTTGACTCCCCTCCACCAGAACAGAAACACCTTCCACAGTAACAGGTGATGCCCACTGCACATCCCACCATTGTAGCATCTCTGACCATACTCTCCAGATCATAGGGCATAACACAAAGATATGGTTCACATTCTCAGCACTAGCTTTGCAGAATGGACACTGATTAACAACACTACTGTTGATTCTGTAGTTTTCACCCTTTCTCTCCAAGCCAGCCAACTAAGGAATTGGGCCTTAGGTGGAGCAACATTGCCCCAAATTAGTTTAAGGATGAGATACATATTGGTTCATAGTTAATTTATGATTTGATTAACAACTAATACTGCCAAATCAGGGTAGGTAGTCAATTTGACTAATATGAAGAAAAAAAATTAAATATAAATAAAATTAAAAATTAGAAATTAGAAATTTAACAACAAAATCAAGTTCAAATCACAAAATAATGATTAAGATTTTATAACACAAATTGGCTTGTAACATTTTCAAAGTCACAAAACCTTCTCTCCTTATGCTGCCCACTTGCCAAGTATCCATTTTTCTATTTAAAAAGAAAAGAAAAAAGAAAAAAAAAAGAAAAATTAGATGAATGGGAAGAGTGGGATTCAGACATTTGATTTTGACTCCAATGAAGAAGACTCTTACCACTTGAGTGACAAGCAATATATAATAAATATTTTATTTTATTTTTTATTTATTTAAATTGCACACACATTATGTGTGCCGACCGCTAGTCTATATATATAAGTATTGTATTCGATAATTAAAGAGTGTGGGAGGGAGAGAAGAAATAAGAGAGAATTACATAGCGTGTTTGACAGAGAAAAGAGAAGCATTTCTTCTTGGTGTGGTTTTTTCTTTTTTTTTTTGTTTTTTGTTTTAGAAAAATTTATCGAGTAAAATAAATTTGTGTTTGAGTTTAGCAAACCAAAAACTCCTCTCTCTAAGTGTGTTTTAGACTATTAGAGCATCTCTAAGGGAGTGGGCAAAAGAGCATCCTGAGACATTTTTACTAATGCAATTGGTTCTTTCCCTTCTCCAAGGGGCTATGCATAAAATGTCCATTTTGATTTTGGCTCTCCACAACAAGCTAGCCTTTATTGAGAGGGAAAAAAGTTTCCCATTGAAATTGCTTCTTCCATCTGATCAAATACTCTTCTTTTGGTTGGTTTTGTGTTTGTATATTGCATCCAATTGATTTGGTTTTGTGTTTCTATATTACCATTTGAAAATATATTTTTTCAAATAATTTAATACATTTTTTTAAATGAAATAATTTAATTACATATTTAAAAATATATATTTACAAATACCACGTCAACATATGCAGCATATCATAAAAAAAATATTTGTTCATTTATCCGTGTTTATAATATTTTTCTTCCAAAAATTAGTTAAGTAAGTTTGATTGATTAGCTAAAATAAAGAGTATAATTAGAGTAAACACTGACTTATTTTTTTTTTTTTTGATCGGCAAAGAAAAATTTCATTAAAAACATGAAATTTACAGGTTCAAGGAAATAAAACGCACTGAGAGAGATTCGAAGAGTAAAAATTCACTCTCCTACTACTGCTACTCGCGTTCTTACAACCAACCCCTAGCCTCACGATTTTAAATTTGAAAAAACAACAAACAAAATAAATTAAAAAACCACAATCATGAGCCCCCACCTAAAACACAGCTACACACCCCAAACCACACTCTGACTCAAGCACTATTACACACTTGAGCCCCACGCCTGACCCACCCACCCTGCACCAATGACAGACACTCAACCTCCAAACTGTCGGACCCTCAGGCTCCAATGCCGCCGAGCACCCTGCACCACCCGTGACCGAAACTACTCTTGCTTCACCATCGAGAACCACCCGGGACCGAAACAACTCTGCTTCACCGCTGAACAACGACAGCCTCTACTTGCTTCACTCTCCTCTACTTCAGTTGCTGCAGCCTCCTCCTTTGGATCTCCTCCGTGACCCAAACAAACTCCTTCGATTGAAACCTCACCAAACAACGCTGGGCAGATATGATTATATCATTAACAATGGTGAGCTTATTTCTATCAACTCTAGCAAAATATAATTATATATAATATATCTAACTTGGGGGTTAAATATAACATCAATGTCACTTAGTGTACATATTTTCTTTGTTAAATTTTAGCTTATAGGTACTTGTCATCTCAAAGCCAGTTGATTTTAGCTTATTCATCTTAAAAAAAAGAAAAAAAAAAAAAACACCACTGTTGATCCATTTTCTAAATTATGCTTGTCGTCTATCTAATCATTTCGGGGAATGTTGGAGTTGATTCCATGCATTTCAAGCTTTGGGAAGTATCTGCGTTACACTCACTCCAACAATTTGAAAGAGAACTGATCGTCTGTAACTATATAATTTTAACAAAGCAAATTCTTCTTTTTGTGTGCCAAGTTATATATTTTTATATTTATCATATTCTCATGCAGCTTTGACCCACTCTGCAAATTTAATTTTAATAAAGCAAATCCTTAAAATATATATATATATATTTTTTGGTATACTTTTATATTTAAGTTCAAATTCTCATGTAACTTTGAACCATTTTTTAATTTTTTTTTAATTTTTTAATTTCAAATAGAAGATTTGTTAGGAGCAGAAGTTTGGTAATCTAAACATTTTCGGTGGTACTACATGCAGAAATTAGTATACACACTAATAGACCAACTAGTATTATGATATAATTATTGGCTACATTTATTATATTAGTTACAAATACCAAAAACCATACAAATGATGTCACATCATCTGTTAGTACATTAATGTGTATATTAATTGGTATATATAGCATTATTTAAACATTTTACATTGACCTTAACTATTGATACAAAAAACATAGTAGAAATTTTAATTGTCCTAATATTTTAATGTTTATAGACATAAGTTTTGAAATATTAATATACTAACATATAACCATGCACATATAAAAAAAATAATTTAGAATAAATTAAATTTTAATCATTTTATTAGAATATTTGCATTCAGATATAATCTTAATTAACATATATATATTTAATGAATAATAAATTCAACCGCTGGATTCTTATATATATATATATATGTATTACAGTTATGTCGTTAATTATATATTTTAAGTTTTCAATAAGAAATAGATGTCATAATTTGAAAGGTAAAGATGAAACAAATAGAATAAATCACAAAAATTATATTTATGAAGTACATTTTGTTCTATAATTTTTATTTTTTTTATAGTTTTAGTTTATTTTTATGTTAAAGTTTATCCAATTATATATAGCCAAAAAATTCATTCATGTTTTCTATTTAAATATTTTTAGATAAATATTATGATTTTTTTTTTATATTTTTCCTTACACCATGTAGTTTAATTATAATTGAAAGTAAAAGAGCATTTATAAATTAAAAAAAAATCCATGAAATGTAATTTTAAAAATAAAATTCCTTTGTTGATTAATATTATGAAATTATTTATATTTTTATAATTTTTAGAAAAAAAATATAAAAAAATAAAGAGCATTTAAAAATTAAAAAAAAATTGCAAAATGTCATTTAAAAATAAAGGGTATTCACCTGCATAATAAAAAATGATTAAAAAAATATTTCATCAGGAAAAGTATATAAAAATATTAAAATAGAAAAAATTAAAGAAAATGGTAGTTTGGTCTCTAACAATATAACATTTATAATATTTTCAATCTTCTATGGTAGTGGAGTTATTTAAGAGGATTTAACGCATCTTAACAAGTACTTGTCAACAAAATCCATATAATATTTTCAGTTCTTTATGATATTGAGGTTAATTAATATAATTAAATAATTTAATCCATTCTTAACAAGTGACCTAACCCTTAATCTAATTAGGAGTAGGATCCCTTTCAGTTTAGATTTTGGACTGAAGTGAGGTGTTTGGGCCTGTGGGGCCTACCACGGGTCTCATTTTGATGATATGAACTATTTATTTTGTTGGACACTTCGTCTATTTCACTAACAAAAAAAAGAGGTCAATCCGATAACTGTAACTTGTTCAAATTATTGCGTTTGTCACTAAAAAAATATATAATTTATTTTTAAAAACACAATTGTTGTCTTTTTTTTAGTGAAAAATTGAAAAAGTTATAATTCTCAGATCGACATAATTTTTTTTGGATGAAATACACAAAGTGTTCAATAAAATGGACGGTTCGAATCATTGAAATAGAGCCCGTAATAGGTCTCACAGGCCCAAACAACTCCCTCTAGTCCAAATCCTCCATCTAATTAATATCAGTAATACTAAGCAAACAGAGAACCAAATGCAGAAGCTGTTCATCTGGACGACCGGTCGGA